CCAGTGTCTGTCACAACATTGAGACAGCCCCTTAGCTGTCCCAACAGGCAGCCAGGCATACTGACATGGCCCCCACAATAGTCACTAGGCCACCACCCAGCCCCCCAGTCATGGAGAAAGGGACAGGCCCATGCTGACACCCCTCCTCCCCACTGTAGTTGGTGCATGGAAGGGGGGGAGACTAATGGACAGCAGCTGTCAGCAGTGGGTGCCAGCCCCCCACCTCATGAATATTCATCATCTGGGGCTCTCCTGAACCTGTGGGGAGTCTGAGGTCCCAGGCAGCTGGGCATCCCCTTCTGTGCCAGGAGGCCCTCAGGTGAGGGGGGAGCTCAGCAAGGCCCCAACAGTCCCTGGAACCTACAACCAGTCCCACACATAAGCACATACGAGTTTGTGAGCACAGACTCCCCCAGATGCACAAACAACAGTCACACAAACTCACAGCCACACCCCAAAACACGGCCATCCTCCATCATACATACACATACACACACACACACACACACCCTCAGGCATGCAAATACAGGCACAGTCACATGAACTCACACACAATCACACACACACACACACACACACACACACGCACACACCCCAGGTATGCAAACACAGGGGCACACAAACTAAGTCACATGACCACAAACATACATACACCATCACACCCAAATGACACACTCACCATTACACTCAGGAATGAAAATACACACACATTTCCAAACACAGACACACAGTCACCCAAAAACTACAACCACTTTTCATAAGACACCCACACAAGTGTGCAAACATGGACCCACAAATTTGTACATACAGTCCCACTGAGTCTCAAATACTCACATACTACCTACCACCCTAAAGAGCACCTTCACCTACCATCACACACACACACACACACACACACACACTCTTACTCGACCGACCCCTGACAGTGTACAGAAGGGGAAACTGAGGCACTGAGGGGCTGAAGGCCCCTTGGAGGACGCCCCTCCTGACCCGGCAGAGGCTGCGGCCCGGCGCCCCCTGCCGGTCTGGCCCCTCCAAGAGCGCGCGGGGCGGCGGCGCGCGGGGCGGGCACGCGCCTGACGTAACCATGGCATCCTCTTGGCGCTCGCGGCCCGCGCACAGGGAGGGCGGGGCGGGCGCGTTGCCATGGCGCCGACGGGCCGCGTGAATGGGGCATTGTTCGCCTCGGCGCCCGGGCCGGGCTGTCCTGGACCCACCCGGACCCACTTAAGCGGGCAGAGACCGAGAGAGACAGAGATGGGGGAGAGGCAAATATAGGGAGAGACAGAGATAGGGAGAGACAAGAGATGGAGAGAGACAGACAAAGCTGTAAATGGGAAAGAAAGGCATTTCGAAGCCAAGAAGGAGAGACAGAGACGGGGAAAGACAGGTGGGAGAGACCTGAGAGATGCAAAGAAACGCACCAAAGAGGAAAGACGGACAGAGCCAAGGAGAGGCAGATATGGGGATCGTGATGTAAGACGAAGGGCTGGGAGGTGGGAGACAGGGCAGGACCAGCCAGCCAACAGTGCCAGAGCCCACTGTGCCTGGTGCTGTGCCTAGCAATCGGACCAGGCAGAGGACCAGAACCACCAGACAAAGTCAGAGACTCTGAGAGGTAGGAGGAGACAGCCATAGAGAGACCCAGTGAGACGGAGGTTCAGAAATACCAGGAAGGGATTGAAGGGAGTGCCTGGAGGGTCTCTGGCCCCACCCACCCGTCCTTCCTCCATTCCCCTTTGGACAATAGGCCTCCTCCAGTTTGACATTCTTGGAAGGCATATCTCTCTCCTATACATCTTCATGCACCTGCTAACAAGACATCATCAACACAGGGACCCAGTCTTTGGTGACACTACCCCAGACACTCCAAGACACCCTCATGGACCCAGTGACACCTACAGATACACCCACAGACACCCAGTGACACAGTCATGGTCATACACACCCATTTGACAGGGACTCCAAAGTAACAGAGATACAGCCCCATAAATGCATTGTCACATGAGGAACCTGCCAGAAATGAGGTTCCACACATGGCCACACATCACCACAGTGGCTCACACTCCATAGGAACACTGTTATATGTGGCCACCCCAACCATGATGCACCCTCACACCTGCACGCATTTCCCTACACTCATTAACACCACCAGGGACACACGCACTCTTTATACCCTGCATTTGACCCAGTGATTGGATGCCCTGGTCCTCGGCCCAGATTGGGGGGATCTGTGAGGATGCTAGGTCCACTTCTCCAAGTTTAACAGACATCAGACACTAGCCAAGATGGGGAGGGGAGGTGAAGCTCCACCCTCCTCCCCCACAAAAGGCTGGGTCAAGCAAGGCTTGTGTAGTCCCTGAACTCCTCCATGTCTGAGTCAGCTTGGCCCAAATCTGGACCAAGGGTGTCCCCTGGTGGCCATGTGTGGTCTCTGCACTCATCTGGTGGGGTGATGGCAGGCAGCCCAGTGGCTGGGCCTGAATAGAAGGGCAGAGAGGAGAGACCCAGGTTCAGCACACAGAGCCCAGAGACAGGAAGCCAGTGTCTGGAAGCCAGAATTTAGAGCCAGAATTCAGAGCATGGATCTCAAAATCCAGAATCCAGAATCTGAATCTAGATCCTGTGTTCAGAATCTAGAATTGACCCAGAATCCAGATCCAATAACCCAGAGCCCAGAGACCTCCTCAGAGCCAGCCCCCTGCCTTCCCTGAGCTCCCAGATTAGAGCAGGGCAGAGGGGTTGGTAACGACAAGAACAGACTTAAGGGGCAGAAGAGTAGCCCTGTAGTGACCACACAGAGCCTCTCCCGTTTACACACACACAGAGAACAGGGCCTTACACACAGATCCACATGCCCAAACATATAGCCATCAGATGTACATCACACCACACCCGCAGATGCATACACATAATCACACACCATCACATACACACCCTGACACACCATCACCCAGACATCCAGACCCACCATTCGCTCCTCTCCCAGCACACAGACACACTCTCATCTGTGTACCCAAACAATCTCAGAGCTGCTCCCCACCCTCAGCCATCCCACTAAGCTTGGACACATAGCCCCCACATCCGGAGACGCGTACAAATTCACACTCCCAGCCCCACACCCTGACAAGCTCACAGAATTGTACAGGCTGCCACGCGCGCGCGCACACACACACACACACACACACACACACACACACACACGCTCCCCCAAGCGCAGAGAAGCCCCATGCCTTGGCAGCCACAAAGCCCCTGGGAATGGAACCTCCGGGACGGGGCTCGCCTTGCACCCCCGTGCACACTCTAGCCCTCCCCTGCCTGGCCGGCTGGCGGGCTTTAATACAGATGCCAAACTCATAATTGTAACTGAGGGTGACAGGGTCACCTTGAGCCCCAGATGCTCGTGTGGTGACAGATGGCGTTGGCAAACCTGATTAGCAGCCCCCGTGCCAGCGCCTGTGGCACCTGCATCCCTGCCCTTCCCCCACTCTCCCAGCACTCATTACCCACCCATTACTGGGCCTGGGGGGTGGGGTGGGGGCCGGCTGGCACTGCCCGAGAGGGGGCAGGGACTCCAGGCCCCCGCCTCCCCCCTGCACCAAAGTTCCCAGCTGGCTCCCTGGCTGGCAGGAGGTGGGCACAGCTGAAATGGGGGGAGCAGGCGCTTCAGATCCCTGCTGAGAGAGGGATGCCCACAGTGCCAAGGCTGAGCTGCCCACTCGGACCTTGCCAGGGGTTTGGCACAGAACCTTGGAGGAGAGTGCACCTCTCCCCCACCGTGGGCCTCTGATGACCCTCCCCCCACAGGGCCCTTGAAGCAGGGCCTTGGGAGCTGCCTGCCTGGCCTATTCCCATCCCTCTGTGCAGACCTGTGGGGTCAGAGGTCACGGGCTCCCACGCCCAGCTGGCCTCACTGGCCCATCTGTTTCCTCAGGTCCCCACCTCCTCCTCCCCTCACCTGAGGCCTTCCTTCCTGAGGCAGGAAGAGGGCTGAGGGGGGACCGGCCGCCATCACCCCCCTCCCCGTGCGCTCCGGGGAGCATTTGGAGGCAACCCTGACAGCGCCACATGTCCCTGTGTCTGTGCCAGACGGGCCCATCTGCTAGGGCCCTGGTTCCAGCCGCCCAAAGCCAGGTTGCCCTCGTCCGCTGCAGACTCTGCGCCCAGCTGAGGAGGGAGTACTCCCCAAGCCCGCATTCCACAGGGCCACCCATTCCCAGGGAACCCCAGTTGGAGGAGCAAACATAAAATACACACATATACACACAACTGGGCTTGGCCAACCTTTATGGTCTCTGTAGAACGTCACACTGGGCGTGGGGCTGGGTGGAGACTGGGGGCTGGGTGGAGACTGGGAATGGGGGGCAGCTGGGAACACATGGGTTCTGCCTCTGACCTGGGGAGCACAGGTTTCCCCCAGCAGCTACTTCTGCCTTCCTGCCTTGGTTACTCGGGGCCCCTAGGACAGGGTCGTTACTGTATCTCCTGGTCTGGGTGGGGCTGTCTGCCCCACTGCAGTTTGGAATGTATCTTTGACTCATTCTGTGAGTGGAAGTCCAGCTTGGTGGTTAAAAGCAGGTGCCATACTGTCTTGGGTTTGAATGCTGGCTCTGCAACGTACTGCTGTATGGCCCTGAGCAAGTGGCTTTGATTCCTGGGGTCTCAGTTTCCTTCTCTGTAAAATGGGGTGATACCCCTACGTCATCAGGTAGCTCTGAGGATATGAGTAAGTACATATTAAATACTTAGAGCCAGGCCTGGTCAACTGTGAGTACCTAATAAATGCAGGTTATGACTATAAGTGGTCCACCTCTATAGCTGGGGCTGTGTCTGGTGTCCCCGGGAGCAGGGCAAGGTCTCTGGAGGTCCATATGGCTGTCCCTGCATCCTTGGTCTCTTTGACCCAGTGTCCATGATCTAGGTCAGCGTCATTCTTGGCCCATCTCCCCACATCTCTCCAAGGTACGTGCATCTGTGTGTCTGTCCATGATGCTCTCAGCTCATGCCTTCGGGCTGCACTGACACCCCTCAACCAGCACTGTGGATGTCTTCATCCGCCGACGGGAGGCTGGGCTGCCCACTCGACACCAAAGGACCACAGGTGCCCAGCGCCTGCGAGTGGGCACACAGCTGTTGCAGAGGACAAGCGGGGTAGGGTCCACACCAGGGACGTAGATCGAAGAGCAGTGACCAAAGCAGAGGTGATTGCGGAGGCGCACGGCTGTGCAGCCCAGCCGGGAGAGCACCTGGGTCCAGAGGCAGGGAGATGGGTCAAAGGCAGTGGAGTCTGGGGCTAGAGTGGCAAAAATTATCGTCCATCCACTTCCACCCCACGTTGAGAGGCATAGATGCCTAGGCTCAAATCGTGACTCTGCCATCTGCTGACTGTGTGGCTTGGGATAAGTTACTCAACCTCTCTGAGCCTCAATTTTCTCACCTTTGAAATCAAAGTTCAGCCAGGAAATAAAGAAACCACCCTAGGCCCTTCAGCAGAGAGGATTAGTACAGAGAAGGGCTGAGGGACAACAAGAAGGGATGGCAATACAGGAGTCTGAAAGGGATTACACAGAAAGCCCTTTGCCAATTACCTAGAACACAGTCTGTGCTCAGTAAATGTTAGTTCCTCCTATGGTCCCCTCCTACTAAGTGGATCTATCAACTGATCCTGGCCCTTCTCTATTTAAACTCTGGACTCCTGCCTCTGCTCCTCTCCCACCCCTCACCTCCCACCCTCCCCCTCATTTTGCCCTAGCCACCCCAGCCTCTTGCCCTGAGTCATACAGAAATCAGCAGTTAAGGCAGACCTTGAACCCAAGTATACCTGGCTCCAAACCCTAGGCTATAAACAACACACAGTATGAATTCCTACAGCCCTGATGGAGCACCAGCTGAATACAGCTGTGAGAGTGCTGCCCATACGCCTCTCGTTCAGGCCGCCTGACAGTGCTTAGGAGGCAGGTACTACTATTATTCATCACTCAACAAACACGGAGCTCCTGCTATGTGCCTGGCTCTATTCTAGGGCCTGGAAACAGGAATACAGAAATGAACAAGCTATAAAAATCCCTGCCCTGGTGGAGCAGACATTCTACTGAAGGAGACAGACAATAAATGCAATTACAGAGTCAGTTTCAGTTGTTAGGTGATTATGTGCACTACAGCGAGAAATAAAGCAAAAAGGGAGGAACAGGGTGGGAGGTGCTGCATATTAAAATGATGTTTGAGTAAAAACCTGAAGGAGGTGAAAGAAGGAGCCATAGAATGTGTGTGTGTTGGGGCAGGGGAGGGGAGGGAGATTGCTAAAGGCAAAGGAACAGCTAGTGCAAAGGCCCTGAGGTTTATAACGTTGGCGTGTCTGGGGAAAAGCAGGAAGGCAGGTGTGGCAGAAGTATAGTGGGTGAGAGAAAGATGGGAGAAGGTGAGGGCGGGGAACGGACAGGCAGATGGTGCAGAGCCTTGTGGGCCAAGGGAAGGACTTGGGCTTTTGCTCTGAGTGAGGTGGGGGTCATGGAGGGTTCTGAGCGAAGGAGGGCTGTGATCTGACTCAGGTGCTCACAGGCGCCCTCTGGCTACTAAATGCAAAACCAGACATGGGCAACGATGGTGATAGCAGAAGCTGGGGAACCAGGATGGGGGCAACTGCATTGGTCTCGGTGGGAGAGGCTTAACCCCCATTTTATAAGGGAGGAAATGGAGAATCAGAGATGGTTAGGTAAAGGATGCAGGGTTTGAGTCCAAATCTGGTGTCACAGCCCATGATCTCTGCCAAGGCTGAGACCCAGCCTCCTCCTTCCCACCTACATACTCACCTGAGTAAAGGGCACAGCCTTGCATATCTCCTGGGCCATTTCCTGTGGATCCAGTGGGAGAGACATGGTGGTAACCACCTCCTGCCCAGGCTGCAGCCCACCTGTCCCCAATCGCCCAGTTTTTTGCAGGTCCAAGAAGGCCTTCCAGCTGCCGAGGGCGGAGGATGGCACCGAGGAGGCTAGGGCCCCTCCGCCCAGAGTTCGGGTCTGATTAGCGGCAGCCCAGGGCTGGGGCGAGAGACCGTGGGGTCCAGGTCTCCCCAAGCCCATAGGCAGCCAGGCCCCACTGAGCAGGCTCAGAATGGTCAGCTGGCTGAGGAGCATCTGTCTGTCTGTCTGTCTGAGACTGGGCTCAGGGTACTGGGCAGTCGACCCTGCTGTCTGGTGAGTGGAGTCTAGGCCTTCCAGACTTGCTTTTAATGGCCTACCCTCCACCAGGGCAGCCTGGGAGGCACCTCTGCAAACCCACCATGGGGAGGAGAGTAAACCCAGACCTGCTGGGTTCCCATCCCTCCCCCGCCTCCCCCCCAGCCTGGCAGGGGATCTGGGGGCTGGGCCTGCAGGTGTGTGAGCTGGGGGACCGGGAAAGACAGGTCTAGAGACAGGGGCTTGGAGCACAGTACCGAAGCCCCTGAGGGCTCCTTTTCCCGTTGGGGCCCATTCATCCATTTAGCAAAACCAGACTTTGCAATTAAGCTACTCTGGTTTCAATCCCAGCATTACAACTTCCTGGCTGTGCAACGCTGGTCAAGTCCCTTAATCACTCTGGGCTTCAGCTGTTTTTTCTGGACTATGGAGATAATAACAGCCCCTACATGGTAGGGTGCTTCTGAGGATTCAAGGAGATAGATAATTTATGTAAGGAGTTTAAATTAGAGGCTGGTACACAGTAGCACCATGAGTAAGCTATGATTACCATTATTGCTGTTTTAGTACCTGTTAGAGGCCAGTCATAATTCTGAGCCTTAGGGATACAGATGGACAAGACAGAAAATAGGTCCCCCTGCCACGGATTGTACATTGTAGTACAGAAAACAGACAATACAAGATAAATACCATGATTTTAAAGTCTTAAGTGTTAACAAGATATTAAAAAGGGATGTGCCTTAGAGGTGTCTTGGCGGGGGCTTCTGCCCCAGAGGTGGTCAGGGAAGGCCTCCCTGAGGAGGTGACATTTTTGCGGAGTCCTGAGGTGCTGTCGCAGGCGATTTAAACAGCCTGGTTGGGGGCGGGGTGGATTGCAGTGCTTCAAGAACTAGGGGTGGGAGCCGAGTACCAGGCTTTGGGGCCCCGGGGGATCCTGGCAGGTCCTGACACCTCTGCGGCCCCCATCTCGCACCCAGGTGAGGCGCTGCAGGCCGCCGAGCCGTGGGAAGCTGCAGGGCGGGTCCTTCCCGCGCTCCACAGGCTGCCCGTGGGATGGGGGCGCGCTCGCCCTCTGGCGGCGGCTCTCGGAAGTGCGCGCCAGGCTCTCGGGACTTGCCTCCCAGACGACCCACTTGGAGGTGCGCGGGCGCCTCCTATGCACCCCGCTACCTCTGAGCTCCTGAGCGTCCCCCAGCTTGCCTTTTGGCTGTCCTCTAGGCCTAGCTAACGGCAGCTCCATTCGGCCAGGTACTAAGGCTTCAAACTTTGGAGCATCCTTGACTCCGCTCTTTCTCCGACCCCACCCCCTCCCCAATCTGATATGACAGCAAGTCCCGTCCACTTCAAAATCTACCCAGAACCCGCCCACTTCTCACTCTTTCCTCAGTCCCCCACCTGGACACAGCTCCCATTATCTCCCACCTGAACCAGTATCGTCCCTCAGCCCTGGTCCCCCAGCTCCCGCCCCCAAAGTCTGTTCCCCCCACAGCAGCCAGAGGGCGCCTGTGAACACCTGAGCCCGGGCAAGTCCCTGTCTGCTCAGAACCCTCGCGGCTTCCACCTCATCCGAGTTTCTCACTGCAGCCCACCAGGACTTGCACTGTCTACTCCCATCAGCTCCCCACCCTTGTCTTGCCCTACTCTCTCCCGCTCCAGCCACACGGGCCTCCTCGCTGTTTCCCCCACTCAACAGGCGTAATCCCCATAATACTGCACAGCTGCTGTACAGGGCTGCGAAAACTCTTATAGTTTCAACATGGAAAGATACCCAAAGAAAAATGAAGTTAAAAAAATTGTCAAGCCTTTTGAACTTCCTTTGCTTGGCCCACTCCAAACCCTTTAGAGCGTACTTTTCCTCCTAATAATGACTCCCTGGCCCTGGCCCTTGGCCTTGCCCTCTTGGGCCTTTTGAGCTTCCTTTGCTCGGCCTGCTCCAAACTCTTTGGAGTGTACTTCTAATAATGGCCCTTGAGCCATTCTCTACTGCTAGGGCCCGCTTCTGCTTCTTTGAAGGAAAAACAGGAGTTTATTTTCCTTCTAATAAACTCCTTTTCTGCAACTTAAAAAAAAAAAAATTCAGAACAGTGTGTATGTTATGCCCTGACCTTTTGGAAGAGGGGGATAAGAATTTACAGCTAATGTTTACTTGTATTTGCATATTGAAAAGTACAGCAGGATTTTCCTGTTGGGGAGGGCCGTGAAAATGGGTGGATGAGATGGCAGGAGCTTCACTTTAGAGTTTAAAAATTGCTTTAACCATGCAAAAAGAAACTTCAGAAAAGGAAAAAGCACAAATGAAAGCAATTTATACTTTTGTCCTGCCCCTTGCTTTTTAAAAATGAACTATGTTGGGCATTCAAATAAGTGTAGATAAAGAATATCACGGGCCGGCCGAGTGGCGCAATGGTTAAGAGCTGGCTTGGGA